GCCTAACACCATCCGTATTAACTTTAGTCCTTGTAAATGAATTATCATCCCCACCGTCACAATCACTATCATCTTGTTTGCTTATTTTTGAGCCTACTTGGTGCATATGTAATAAATAATCCTTCCATAAGTGGATAGTCAATGTTATTGACAAAATCACAAATCTAAGTGAATCAAGTGATCAAATACTTCAAATCAATAACAATCGATAATCATAACTTCAATCATGTCCTGTTTCATACATCATTTTATTTTTAAATTAAATTTCCCTGTCTAGCTCGACCCATACGCGGTGCTACGAATCTTCTTTACGGTGCACGCATCAAGAATCTTAAGCAAAACCGGGTTAGTCGTGCACCTAGGAGTCTTGAACTGGTTCAAACCCGCGCCAATCCCAATAAAATGCTCCACAATCTTCTCAAAAGTACCCTCCTCCACAATCCGGAGCTCCAAAGGCCCGATCGAGCTACTTTTTCTAGACACCACATAACCTGGGTCCACGAAAGAGGCATCCATTTCCGTGCAACATTCGCTCAACAGCTGCCCATCAGCCTCACCCTTGATCTCCCAATAGATCACGTAGTGTCCCGGTTGGTGGGCCACGCTTGCGTGGCTCGTGAAGTCGATGAGCTCGGCCTTTTTGGTCTTGTGTAGGATTTGAGACCCCTTCTCGACCACCGATTGGAGGTCCTTTTCGGTGTTCTTGTCGATGTTGACGGTTAGAATTAGCTTCCGGCGGCATACGAAGCTGAGCTTGGGAGTGTTGCGGTAGAAGCCAGACACTTGGACCACGTCACCTAATCGGTATCTGTATAGTCCTGCATGTCAAGATTATACATATACCAAAAAAATTGAAAATTATTACAGATATTAATGCAAGATAGATAAAATTGAAAAAAAAGGAAAGCAAATCTTGTTAGTACTAGTCATTAGTCAAGCTTATACTATACCAAAACAATTGAAATTATTAGAGACATTAATGCTAGATAGATAAAAATGGAAAGAGGCAAACATTGTCACTACTATGACTAGTGCTGCTACGTTAAACGAGCCAAGCACGACTCGACTTGTTAAGGCTCGAGTTCGACTTGACTCGTTTGATAAAAGAGCCGAGATCGAGCTCATTCAGTGCTTGTTCGGTTAACGAGTCGAGCTCGGCTCGACTCAATAAAGATCGAATGAGAAGTTTATATAATTATCTATAGTTCGACTACTTAAATCTCGATATCAGCTCGTTATTAGTGATAAAAAAAAAAAAGAAAGTTCTAGGCATGCATTACGTAAAGGTAACGAGTAATTTGATAATAGAATATAATTCTTTTACCTTATACAAAATTCCAAGAGCACTTTTTGGTTTTTTTTACTCGAGCTTTCCCTTCCGTACGGGAGACTATTAAATACGACCAATAATTGGTTCAGATTTTTCAAAAACAAGGGAGAAAATCATGTAGATGCCCCCTACAAGTTGGCTTGCCATGTAAAAGTTGATTGAGATATTTAGTGGGAATACAATATTTCCAAGCCCATCTCTGCTTTATTTATGTGCCTGTGGTCCATCTGTTCATGCACCTGATGTACTTACTATGCAGCACAAATGAATGGCTGCAAACGTTTTCCCTACTTTGGATCACATGAATAAACAAACCGAGCCATTCGTGGGCCCGCCGCTCAATTTCGCTCGTTAAAGTTAAAGTTCGAGTTGACCTCAATTCGTTTGATAAATGAGCTGAGCTCGACCTCATTTTACACCTCACAAGCTCAACTCGTTAAGCTCGGGAAATAGGGTTTTATAAGGTAACTTCTCGAACTATTAAATTAGCTCGGCTTTAAAACTCGAAATTTGATTCGTTAAAGCTCGAGTATCAGTAGTTTGAGCTCGTTTACAACTCTAGGGACAAGCACTCAAGAAACAAAACTACACAACACATTATCAATCCCATTTCGTTTGAGATCGACAAACTACACAATAGGAAATCGATTTGACCTTGATTTGATAAACGAGTCGAACTTGAGTTCGGGCTCATTG